TTGGTGAAATGTGGAAGTTTGGTGATGAGCAGATCCACCGTCTGCTGCGCCTCTCCAGACGGGTTGGACGCGACGCAAGTGAAAGACCCAGAGTCTTTGACCGTGCTGATCAGGATGTCCAGTGTCCCGTCCGAGTGGAGGACGGTGCGACTGGAGTTGAACACCAGCTTCCCGTCCGGAGCGATCCAATGCATGACGGGATCCGGGTCGCCGCGGGCTTTGCAGCGCAAGGAAACCTGCTGGCCTTCGAGAGCGCGAGTCTCTTGCGAGTGTCTAGTGATGAGCGGCGGCTCGCACAGGAACTCCTCCTCGGATACGGTCCAGAAATAGCGTCCGGCGAGATGCTGCGGAGCCGCGCAGGTCTCCAGATCATCCTCACGCCGCAGCCGTCGAAGCCACAGCAACTCGCAGTTACAATGCAGCGGGTTTCCTCCGAAACTCAACGCGAACGACGACGGACCCAAAACCCCAGACGTGGCTAAAACTCCGGCGCGCTGGAACACCGGATCCGGCGGAAGCTTGTGGAGCTTATTGGACGTTACATCCAGACGCTTGAGCTTCTGAAGCCCGGAGAAGGTTCCTTCGGGAATGTAGTTGATCATGTTGTGGTCCAGGTTTAAGGTGTGCAGGTTGCTCATGAGCTGGATGGCGATCCACGGCACGCTCTCCAGGTTGTTGTAGGATAAATCCAGCTCTTCCAGCGCGAGAAGGTCGTTGAACGCTCCTATGTGGATGTGCGTGAGCTGGTTGTTGTTGAGAATGAGATGGTGCAGCTTGGACATGCCGCTAAACGTATCGTTCGTTATGTGGGTCAAGCGGTTGCTGTCCAGATGAAGGGCGCGGAGGTTCTCCAAATCGTTGAAAGCGTGAGGCGTGACCGATCCTATCGTGTTCCTAGAGAGCGTCAGGTCCACCAGTTTGGTCATGTTGGCGAAATCCTTCCGCTTGATGCCCGTGATGAAATTGTCCCCCAGTCGGAGCTCGACGGTGCGTCTGTCGATGTTTGGAGGGACAAACAGCAGCCCCTTTTTATCACACAAGGTGGCCAGATTGGGGGACAAAACCTGGCAAATGCA